AGGGAACATCTCCATGACGTGGCGTCCGAGAACGGTTCTGGCTTTCGCGGCTAGCTTGGCCCGGGTTTTGAAAACCTTCTTCTGAAGCTGAAGCTTCTGAATAATTTGGGGGCGTCATCAGTTCATGAATTGACGGCGGTCGAAGCAGAGCTCCCACGCGAATTGCCGAAGAAATTTTGGAGCCCACTGCCCAGCCTCACCGACGGGGATACGAGCGAGGCCACGTCCTCCGAAGGGAATGACCGAGCCGGCAAGGGCCGCGGCTGATTCCGTGATGCAGCTAGAAACGCATCGCTCTGGACCGACCGCAGACAAGCGAAGGTCTTCGATGTGCGCCGAAAGAGAACAAAAACTCCAGAGGCAAAACGCGAATGTCCAAGACAGGAATAAAGAACATGCGGGCGAACGCAATGGTCATCGAGCAGCCAGCGTCAAACCCCAGCGAAATATGCAGCGGGCCATCGGCCAGTCCGGGAAGCGAAACGCACCGTGGCCCGCGGCGCGCGATGACAGCAAACCTAACAATTGCCCGCGGTTTATTAGACTAACGCATCGGCCCGGCCATGTGGAATATCCAAGGGGACACGTTCGTAAAAATGGTGTCGCCTTCGTAGCGCATTCGCAGCAGCGACCCCTCTCCTGGCGCCCAACTCTGAGCGACCCGCTCGGCGCCAGACAACGTCGCAGAGGGCGGAGGCTCCAAGGTGTGGTCTGGGGCGCGAGGCTTCCCGGGCACTGGCAGCAGGCCTGCGCGCGCGGCGCCTGACTCTGCGCGCCGCGTTCCACGGCGCGCCAGGGGGGGAGGACCAAACATATTCTTCCGAACAGACAAAGAACGATATACTTCATATGCCTCGGAAGCATTGAACAAGGACTCAATCAAACTACAGAGGATGGAGAGCGCTTGCAGGAGGGGCTACGCGATGGAACGCAAGCGCCCGGAGTGGAACCCATCGACGCCCGCGGCGAAGAACATCTAAGATTTGGAGACTTCTCTGAGACCGTCGGGGCGCACGAGGCCCAAAGGCTCCCGATGCTCCAGAAGGGCCTCGACGGGGGCCTCCGCGCCGCGCCCCCCGTGGGAAGTGGAACGGGCAGCTTCAGCGTGCCAGGGCGAGCGGGGCTGCTGCTCTCGCGCCCTCGCGCGAACTCGACGCCCGCCGGGGTCGACGTCCCCGAACAGCCAGGCTCTCCAGGGCCTTTGGGCGGCCAACCTGGCCCGGGAAGCAGACGGATCGAACGCCGAGTCGATGTCCAAATTCAACGCGTCAGCGCCCCCGCCCAAATCATCAAGAAAATCCTGGGAACTAGTGTTCCACTGGAAGTGTTGGGCCCGGAATAACTCGCCATCGCGTTCTTGGACGTTTTGCGCCCCGGGCACTCGTCAAAACGTAACGCGCTACAAAATCGCGACGGTGCTTCGGCGTTTGTCGCTGCGTCGTTAATCCGCGTTTGCAGCCCATCACCGTGGATCGCCTTGTTTTTCGCTGTTAACGGTGTAAACTCACGCCGGCCGCTGTCTGCGCCCCCATTTCTCGCTTCTGCCGCCGTTGTTCCTCGCGGCGCTGAAACCGCAGAAGACGCTCGGGCGCCGGACTGGCGCCGGCCCGAAAGGGGCCCGGAGGCCTGGCGGCCCCAAGAGGGGCAATCGGCGATCAGGCCCTGAGGCCCGACGCCCCGGAAGGGGCCCCGAGTGCGGCGAGCGCTCGGACTGAGAGAGCCAGGGGGCTGAGGGCTGCGCGCCAGGAGAGGGGGCTGAGGACGTCGTACATGGCAACGTGAGCCAATGCAAACGACCCATCTGAAAACGCTGAGACAGCGTAGCTCAATGCGCAAATAATGAATTGCTCAGTCTTCTCGTTGGAGCCGAGAAACGCCGAACAAATTATTTCCGACGCGCCCGCGCCGAATGCGAAATGGAGCACGAACGCCCTGGGCAAATCCAGGAAGACCCTGATCTATCGGGGGAATGGAGATGGGCTCGAATGAAGGGCTCGCAGTCGTGCTCGCGAACGTCGGCGCGGAGGACGGCGCGCAGACAGCTGACGCGCCGCGCCGGCCGCCTGAAATTTGCGCGCCCCGGCTGCTGAGCCCCCCTGCGACGGCCGCCAGAATCTACAACTTTGGTCCACGTCAGCTGCGGCGGCCGTCCTCCGAGACCCGGTCATTTGAGGCGCGCGCGCGCGGGGGGCGGGCCGGCGCTTCCTCGGCGACATCCGCCACAATGTAGCAAGGTGTCTTTAAATGTCCGAACGCCCAATTTTTTGGCGAGCCATAGCTGGCGCAGCCCGTCGCCGCGTCGGATGGGAGGTGTGAGTTGGCAGGGCCCACGGGGACATCGACGGCGATCTTCGGGGTCTTCGCCAACGACTGGGCGCGGCGAAACCCATTCAGGGAAAGACGCGACGGTGGCGGAATATTGACTTTTGACCGCGAAACCATTGTCCACGGAAACCGATCAAATGAATTTGATGAGCCTCATGGAGACCGCGAAATTGTCGCGCATCCTCGCGCCGCCCGTGCTGCCCGGGCGGGCTGCTTCGAGGACTGCTTCGAGGCCAGGAGGCCGTTGCCGCCCGCCTCGGCGGGGTAGCCGCGCAGCTCCACGGCGCTGCCGACGTCTGCCGGCAGCCGATGACTCCAATCTCAAAGATCCTCCGAATCGCGAAGGGAACAACTTCCGATTCTGATAGGGCTGCCCCCCCTGAAATGCGCGCGCGCGCCCCAGAATGGCGTCGCCAGGAACCGCCATCGACCCTTCGCGGGGCGCGCGCGAACCAGCATAATTTTGGGCGGGCCTGGGCGCGCCCCCAGATGCACCGCGGGGGTGGGATTCGCAGCCGCGCAAACCTCAACCAACCATTGGACGACGCCTCGTGCAATGACTTACAGCCCCGAAGCCTGCGCTCTTGAAAGAGGGCCACGTGCGAGGACGTAGACCCGAGCCAAGACTCGATGGAAGGCCAGGCTGCGCGATTGGCCGCGTCAAGCGAGAGAGCGAAGTTAAAGATCTCAAGCTTGGTCGGGGCGCGCAGGAAATGCCCCCCCGCGGTGATGGGCTCAGGAGCACCGCCGGAACCGCCGCTGTCCTCGGCGTTCGCAGGGGGGGGGGGCCGCCTCGCCCGAGCCCCGCCCGCGCGCGCCCGCGGACGTTGGCCAGCGCGGTGGACGAAGCGGGCCCTGACCTTGCCCGGCTTGGGCCAACTCCGCGCGCGGCGTCTGGGGCCGGGGGCGGGCCCCCAGCCGCGCCTCCGCCTGCTCCTGCAGAGGTCGGCGCATCAGCCGCGGTCTCCGAACTCTCTCCAGCACCTGGTGGCCCAGCCGCTGCCGCGCCTGCTGGACCTCATTTGGCACCCTCGGCTGGGTCTTGAACTGATCGGCGTTTCTGTTGTAGGCGTTGCAGGAGTTCTGCTCGCTGCTTCTCGATGCTCTCGGCGTTCTTGACAGCGACACGTATGGGGGGGGGGCTGGGCCATATTCTCGTGCCGCTATTCAAGCTCTGCTACGAGCTTGTCGATCTGCTCCTTGTCACTGGCCGGCAGATCGAAATCGCCCAGGTCTTGGTAGACATCGGAGATGTCGAACTTGAGGGCATCAAAACCACCACCAAGCAGGTCGCGAAAGCGAAGCACTGTAGCGGTGGCCTCGGTAGGCGGTCGCGGGCAAGCCTCGGCCGCTCAATTGCCCACCGACGCCATGCAAGGCGCTCCATGTTCGGCGTCCTTCTGTTTGAACCATTCTCGGAGACGAATGCGCTCTGCACGCCTTGCTTCAGCATCCCCACTTTTCGAGCGTTGCCCTCTGCTTGTCGAGCCTGGCCTCGAGAGCGAACAGCTTTATGGTCTTCGTTGGTTTGCTGCTGCGCAAGAATGGCGAACTTGGGCATGCTGTGGCAAGCTTCTTCGCGTAATGCTGGGCCAGCGATGAATCCCCAAGCTTTGTGGCCAAGGCAACCATCTGCTCAAAGTCAGACCTGGCGCCGCCGACGGGTCCGACAAGGCCGGAAACGCGAGGAAGGCGAGGCCAATCTTCATGGCGAAGACAGAAAGCACGCGCAGGAGAATGGTCTAGACCGTGCCCAGCAGGAGGGGTAGAACAACCCCCCATAGCGCAGCAATGCTTGCGCAAGCGAACCCTGCCATGTGCCCGACCTCTTCTGCTGCCCACGCTGGCTCGCTCCACGAGCCCCACATCTCTCCTGGAGGCCCAAACTGATTTTCCGCGAACGACCTCCGCCGCCTTCCGCCGAGGAAGAATCGGCCACCGATCGGGCCCTCGATAGGCGAGGCCCCTTCGGAAGCGCCTCCTGTGGGCTGCGGCCCCTTTCGGGCCCTGCCCTGCGGGCCTTCTTCCTCCTACCTCGTCCTCCCTCCTCCCTTCGCCCTCCTCCCTCCTCCCTCTCCCTCCTCCCTCTCCCTCCTCCCTCCCTCCCGCTCCTCCCTCTCCCTCCCCCCTCGTCCTCCCTCTCCCTCCTCCCTCGTCCTCCCTCTCCCTTCGCCCTCCTCCCCTCTCCCTCCTCCCTCCCTCCCGCTCCGCTCTCCCCAACGGCGCGCGCCCGCGAGGGGCGAGGGGCAGGAGGGAGAGAGGGGAGAGGGGATGAAGAGAAGGAGGCTGAGGGAGAAGAGATGGAGAAGAGCGAAAACGGAGGAGGAGGCAGAGAAAGGACGAGGAGGAAACTCATTTCCCTCCACCTCCCTGTTCGCCCATCATCCATGATCGTCCCCTCCTCCTCCTCCTCCTTCTCCTCCTCGTACTCCTCTCCCTCCTCTCCCCCCTCTTTCCCCTCCATATCCTCCTGCGCCTCCGTACAAGCCCGACGCTGACGTCTACCCCGAAGCCGACCCCGAAGACGACGACGATGACCCCGACGACGAAGTCATCGTCGACGACGACGACGACGGCCCCCAAGACGATCCCGACGACGACGACGACCACGACGACGACGACGACGGCGACGGCGACGGCGACGGCGACGGCGGCAGCGGACCGGGCGTGCGCTCCACGCGGCGCTGGTGCTCCGCAGGCCCGGAGAAAAACTTCTTCTGGGCAGGGCGGCAAGCCGGCCGCTTCCCCCCTTCTCCGCCTCCCTCCTCCTTCTCCTTCCCCCCCTCCCCCTCGTCCTCCTCCTCGTCCTCGCTCTCCCCAGCTCCCTCCTCCCTCCTCCTGCATCCTCCCTCCTGCATCCTCGGTCCTGTCTCCTCGTTCTCCCCATCCTATCCCTCCCCCGCTCCGCCTGCATCCTCCCCCCTCTATTCTCCTCCTCCTCCTCCTCCTCCCTCCTCCTCCTCCCTCCTCCCTCCTCCTCCTCCTCCTCCTCCTCCTCCTCCTCCTCCTCCTCCTCCTCCTCCTCCTCCTCCTCCTCCTCCTCCTCCTCCTCCTCCTCCTCCTCCCTCCTCCTCCTCCTCCCTCCTCCCTCCTCCCTCCTCCTCCTCCCTCCTCCTCCTCCCTCCTCCCTCCTCCCTCCTCCCTCCTCCCTCCTCCCTCCTCCCTCCTCCCTCCTCCCTCCTCCCTCCTCCTCCCTCCTCCCTCCTCCCTCCTCCCCTCCCTCCTCCCTCCTCCTCTCCTCCTCCTCCTCCTCCCTCCTCCCTCCTCCCTCCTCCCTCCTCCCTCCTCCCTCCTCCTCCCCCTCCTCCCTCCTCCCTCCTCCCTCCTCCCTCCTCCCTCCTCCCTCCTCCCTCCTCCTCCTCCCTCCTCCTCCTCCCTCCTCCTCCCTCCTCCTCCCTCCTCCTCCCTCCTCCTCCCTCCTCCTCCCTCCTCCTCCTCCCTCTCCTCCTCCCTCTCCTCCTCCTCTCCTCCTCCCTCTCCTCTCCTCCTCCTCCTCCTCCTCCTCCTCCCTCCTCCTCCTCCTCCTCCTCCACCTCCTCCTCCTCCTCCTCCTCCTCCTCCTCCTCCTCCTCCTCCTCCTCCTCCTCTCCTCCTCCTCCTCCTCCTCCTCCTCCTCCTCCTCTCTCCATCTTCGTCGTCGTCCTTCTCTTCCTCGTTCATCCTCCACCCCTCTCTTTCACCCCTCCTCCTCCTCCTCCTCCTCCTCTCCTCCTCCTCCTCATCCTCCTTCTCATCCTCATCCTCCTCCTTCTCATCCTCCTCTTGGTCCTCCTCCTTCTCCTGCTCCTGCTCCTCCTCCTCCCCCACTCCCCCTCCCCATCCTTCTCATTTCCTCCTCTCTGCTGCTCCAGACGGGGAATCGGAGGGTGAAGAAAGGGCACAGACACACCAGGAGAACAAAGAGGGCGTAGACCTCACCCTCCCTCCCTCCCTCCCTCTCCCAGTGGCTCCTCCCCCTTTCTTCGTTCTCCCTTCTGCTTTTCCTCCTCCCTAGTATGACAGGGATCCCCCCCCTTGAAAGCATACCCCATTGCCGCCTCCCTTTTAACCAAGCAGCAATAGAAACCTCGACGTCCTCCTCCGCTTCCTCACCCTGGTCGGCCTCCCTGTAACTCCTCACTACGTATCCCTCTTCTCATTCTCCCTCCTCTTCCTCCTCCGCCTACTCCTCCTCCTCCTGCTCATCCTACTTCGTCGCACTACATCGCTGCTGCCACGTTGAACGTTCATCAATATCCTACGCATGCCCTTGCAACACATGGCTTCCGTGTCATGCTCAGCATGCGTGCGCGTACGTGTAATCCGCCGACCCTGTCGGCGTGTGTGAGAAGCTTTTCCGATGGAGTCGTCGTCGTCGTCGCCGCTCCCTCTCAAGCGTTACAGCCATAGGAAAATCGAGCAACGTCGTAATCGAGTCGAAGGGAAGCCCCTTCCCAATGATCCCTCCCCCGCCAGGGGGCGTGGATCTCATGGGGGCTGGGGGTGAGGTCCTGGAGGTTGTGACCCCTCCACCTCCCCTGGGGAGCACCCCTCCCTGGGAGAAGCTTCCGGCTTCACAGCGTCAGCGTCGTCACCGTCATCGCCATCGTCGTCGTCATTATCATCCCCTTCAGGGTCGTCGGTGCTGGCCGTAAGGCCTTCGCAATAGTCAATGACAGCCCAACAGACCAACGCACAGTTCCATGTCTCACTCGAGGACGCCATTGTCGACCCGAACACGCATGCACGGCGGCTCGGTCTCACCGGAAGCCATCCAGTAACGTTGGTGCACACCACGTGGAAGAGATCCTTTGTGTATTTTGCCTGCGGGCACCGGCAGGGCAGGGGAAAGGACTAGTACCAGGAAAGGGCAGGGTAGGACAGTCGATGCCCGACTCGTCAGCGACGCGCTGACACCCACTTAAACGGATCGGGATGTATGAATCTAGGGAGGCGGGAGGATCGAGAATTGGACGCTCGATACTGGAGGAAGCTGGTGCATGTTTCCTGTTCCCGACAATCGCGTTGCAAGGCTGAACCTAAACGGTGTTTTTCGAATTCGTTTTGTTTTCGTTTTCCCTCGCTTTTGTCTCGAATCCGCCTTTACCGCAAAACGAAGTCGAAACGAAAACGGCCCACCAAATCACCAAAAACACCGTTTAGGTCCAGCCCTGTGGTGTGGTATTAGGTCCTCGTTTTGAAGGGACGGCGGCCCGGGTCACATCACCGCCCACCTACCTCCTCCCTTCTCCCATCCCTTTCCAAGCCCTCCGCATGTCTACGTCGGCACACCCCTCACACGCTTCCTAGCCCCGTAGGGAGCTCCAGCTAAGGCCCCGGGGGGGAACCACATGTGGTCCCACAGCCATGTCGGAACACCCCTCACACGCTGCGTGGCCCCATACGGAGCTCCAACTAACGCACCAAGGAGGGGTACCAACATGCGGTCCCCCAACCGTTCTGGCACACCCCTCACAGGCTTCGTGGCCGAATAGGGAGCTCCAACTAAGGCCCCAACGAGAGGCACCGCATGCGGTCCACCAGCCCATTTCGGCGCCCGCTCACACGTTTCTGGGGCTCCAACCAAAGCCCCGTGGCACAAATCGCATGCGTCCCTGGGCCCACGTAATTAGGCAAACCTCTCACACGCTTCGTGGCCTCATAGGAACTGGCATCGCCCGCGTGCGTCCCCAGGGCCAGGGCCCATGTCGGCACACCCCTCACACGCTTCGTGGCCCCATAAGGAGCTCCACGGAAGGCTCCAATCGCGACGCCCGCATGCGTCGCCAAGGCCAATTCCAGAACACCTCTCGCGCGTTCAGTGGCCCGACATGGAACCTGACTGAAAACTATATTGACAATCGCTGTGCTCACAACTATACTTGGGTCCTCCTCCGCCAAGATGATGTGTTGTCCGTTTGTTGTTTCCGGCTTCGTCAGCCCTCGCGTACCTCGTCGTGCCAGACCATCTGGCGTGTCGAAAGCATCGCGCCGAAGTATTGTATCATTTTCGGTGTCTGGAAGCCCATTTCGTTTCTGAGCTTTGGGTTTGTCAACGACACGCGCTGGATGAAAACCGAGTGCGTGCAGACCAACCACTCATCACAGTTCAAGTAACACACTCCATGCGAAAAACATGGCAAACACAATATTGGTGAGATGTTTGCGCTAGCTGGTTAGAGCCTCAGAAGCCGCCCGTGAGAGAGCGCAGACCAGTCAACAACCAACCGGCCAGAACATGCAAGGGAACAGCGCTCGGAACCCAATCATTTCGCGACATGCACGTGCTGATGAAGTAGCGCGCCTTCGAGAAAAACGGGCCACGGGGAAGTCGGCGGTGGTTGAATTTCCCTTTAGCAAACCTCCCTTCAATGAAAACGGCCTAGAACCGAAACCGACGGACTTGGACCCGCAAAGATAACGGCCGTGACGCCCTATCGCAAACCGAAAACGGCCAATTCGCTCCGGGACGCGTCATGGTAGGAGGTCTGTCCTGATGGGCCTGTTTTCCACCACCACCACCACCATAACTTGGAGGGGGAAGGGGTCCTCCTCCTTCTCCTCCTCCTCCTCCTCCTCCTCCTCCTCCCTCCCCCCTCCAGCTTATGGTAGTGGTGGTGGTGGAAAACACGCCCATCATGTCCACCCCAGGGAAGGGGTCCATCGGCGAGGAGGGCCAAGTCTGATCACAACGGTATTCCCGCCCGGGCCTCGAAAAACGCCCCACCCGGTCCCCGGAACCTTCGGAAAGGGCCCCGGGACGCACACAAAAAAATAAACTCAAATCGCGAGATTGCCAATATTTTTCCCCATAATCCCACCAGCCCTCTGGGCGTAGGTGGTTTAGGGAGTTTCCTCTTCCATCTTTCCTTCTTCCCCTTCGGGGAGGGGTCTACCCCTCCCCCTAACCCCCTCCCCTGGACCTGGACGGGCCCGGTCGCGAGCGGTCAGTGTCCAAGATGGCCCACGATGGCTCCATGAGCGCCTCGGATAATCCAAAATGACTTCCAAGATGGCTCAAGATAGCCTAAGATGCCGCAAGATGGCTCCGAATATGCTCCAAGACGCACTCAAAACGCTCCAAGACAGCTCCAAGAGGCCAATTATCTCCCCAATGAGGCCCCTCAAGAAGCCAACATTCTTCAAAAACCCAAGGAAAACCAATGATTTTCGGTTTCTCGTCTTTTCGCTTCCGATGGCTATCTGAAGCCCCAACATGGCTCCGAGAGGGGCCCAAGAGGGCCCCAATACGGCCCCAAGAGCGCCCAAGAGCGCGCCAAGAGCGCCCCAAGAGGGGTCCAGGCGGCTATTTCGGGAGCTCCCGAGGGGCAGGGTCAATTAGGGAACCCCCTTCTTTGATCGATCGCTTCCAAGATGGCCCCAAAGGGCGCCCAGGAGGCCCCCAAAGGCGCCAAAATGGCCCCAAGAGGCCTCCAAGAGGCCCCCAAGAGGGCCCCAAGCGGCCCCAAGAGGCCCCCCCCCCGGACGCACCCAAGACGCCCAAGGACCCCCCAGGATCGCCAAGAGACCCCCCAGACGTCCCAAGATGCCTTCAAGAGGCGCCCAAGAGGCATCCGAACGGCATTCAACCATCCACCCAGCGTCATCATTCTCCTCATCCCTCCTTCGCTCGGTTCCTCGCCGCCCCCACATCTATCCACCTGGCCTCCTCTTCCGCCTCATCCTTTGCACGGATCGGCTGTCCCTCTCGTTGCTCCCCCACTTCCCTGATCTCTTCAACTTGCCTGGACATCGTTTCTGGATGGGCTGGTGGGGGTATATTTTTTCCTCGGCGGCTCCAAGGAAAACCCCAGGGAGCGGTCACAACGTCCGGGCCACGGCGCATTGTAAATTGGCGATCCAGCCGCCACTGTAGGCAACAGACCTCATCTGCAAGCGAACTCGCAGTTGCACATGCTCAGTACACGTACTGAATTCGCAGGCGACGCACATAAGCGCAGCAGCGCACAAAAGGAGGCAGCTACACGCGCGAGGCAGCTGAGTGTCGCCAAGGCGGCGCCAACGCAGAAAACCGGGCGAAGTGAGCGAGCAGAGACACTAGGCAGCACCCTGTACGGTGGTGGAGCCAGGGCCAAGCGCTACGTACTTACAAGCGCCACGGCTGGGTGGACCACGTGGGATGCCATCAGAAAAGAACACTGAAGCGCATCGGCGAAGGACCACCTGTGGCTAACGCTGGTGGGGATATTTTTTTGATCTGCGGCTCCAAGGGCGATTCCAGAGAGCGGGGAGTATCGAGCATGGGGTGACGCGCCAGATAATTACCGGCGGGCCAAAAGCCAGCGCCGAAGTGCAAGCAAACACGAGAAAACACGCCAGAAAATTAAGAGAGGCACATTAGCCGGAGCGGGACAACGGCAGCGGAAGGTCGCACAGTGGCGCCAGCTCCCGAGGCGCAGGCCAGCGAAAGACCGGGAGGAACCCGGAGGGGGAAGCAGGAACGGAGAGCGCCGCGAAGGCGAAGCGAGCCGGGAAGGGCCGAGCGAGAAACTTACCCGCGGGCCAAAAGCCAGCGCGGGGATGCACGGACGGGCGAGAAAATTACCAGCGGGCCAAGAGCCAACGCCGGGAGCATGCGGGGACCAGGAACCCTCAATCACGGAGCAACTGAGGCTCATGAGCCGTTCCACGTCACCAGTATGAAAGGCACCGTAGCACGGCCACAGAGAGAGCTGGTGGGGATGTTTTTTGTTGCACAGCCGCGGGCGGAAGCGCCAGCGGCGGCAAGTAACGGTCGGGCTGCGGCCGAAACTAATTGGCCGGACGCGCGCGCGGGCCGCGGCCGGCGCCGGGGCGGCGGGTGCAAGGGTGCTGCAACCCAGGGCGTCTGACGCCCAAGGATCTGCACCCAGGGAGTCTGCGAGCTACGCTGCCAAAATGGCGCGATGCAAATAATCCCGAGGTGTCTGAAGCCATGGCCAAGCAGGACGCCGATTGGGTGCACTATCGGAACCGAAGGGAGTCTGCAAACCTCGGCGCAGCGAATAGCGAAGCGCATGGGAGTCCCAGGGTGTCTGAACCATGCTCGAGCAGAAGCGTCCGAGAGACGCGCAAGCTGTCGCCTGACTGCATACCGTAGGGGGAGGTTGGACTCTGACAGCGCCAGCGAACCGTCGCAGCTTCAGAGCACGCACCAACGCAGCCAAAATGGCGCGACATTCGTGGTGTCTGTAACCGAACAAGGCACGTCCGGCCCGGGAAGACAACCTCGAACAGAGATGCGTTCGCAAGCGAGCCATCAGGTAACATGATGTGACGCAACGCGGGAGGCACAACTGTCCCAATCTTCCACCAAGCACAAGTCGCAGGCGACTAGCAACCAGAGGTAAGAGCAGGAACGCGTACCAGGGAGCCTCTAACGTGACAAGCATACACAGAGCAACGCCTATCCTTGGAACCCTGGCGTACCTGAGTGATGTGCAAGGAGATGGCGCTCTGGGAAAGCCGTGCTGCCGCTTACCAGCTGCAGCCGAAGCTACTGCCAGTGGTCGCGAAGAAGCCCAGGGAGCTGAAGGCCGCTCAGCCAGGCAGAGCGGGGGAGCGACGATGGGATGATGCCAGTCCTGGCAACAGGACCTGGCGGCCAACAAAGGAAGCAGGCGTACGCACTAGGCACAGGTATGGACTCAGTCCGCTGACCACCCGCGGCAACCCTGTGGCCGGTGCGCGCAAGTGGGTGCGCAACTGCGTCCCTGCGTCCGGGCACGGCAACAACGTCCTTACGGGTGGGCGCGCCGCGCATCCGTGCCGGAGGCGTACCTCAACGGCTCAGAAGTGCACCATCTGGTCATGCGTTCGAAACC